TATTATTATTATTGTTACTATTATTATTATTATTACTACGGTTACTATTATTACTATAATCACTGCTCATTGTCCCCCATCGTTGTTGTCGTCGCCATCATCAACTCTTTAGCTTTAAAACGGGGCCTGGTACAATCTCTGAAAGACAGTCGGAGTGGAAGAGGTAAGGATAATGGGGTGCCAATCAGATTTCAGGGATGGCCAGTGCCACCCCAGGTCCCTCCTCTGAAAATGCCCTTGACGTCTAAATCAGAGCAACTGGAACAGAGAATGGTGAGCATATGGGGGCCAGAGTTAGTGCAGGACAAGGTGTGTCCAGAGGTGGAAAAAGGTAAATGGACCTGTACTTGTATAGCGCCTTTTTAGTCTTTTGACCTCAAAGCGCTTTTACACTATATTCTACATTTGCCCTTTCATTTATTCACATTCACACACCGATGACGCAGCATTGGGAGCAATTTGGGGTTTAGTATCTTGTTCAAGGACACTTTAACATGCAGTGGAAGGGTCGAACCAACAACCTCACAATTAGTGGAGGACCCGCTCTACCTCTGAGCCACAGCCGGTCATCTGGGTGACTTGTTTAATGTGCTGGCGAGATCAAACAACTGTTAGACTTTGAGAAATCACATAGTTGTTGAGAGTTGTGTGGAGCCAATGACCAGAATCAGTTTTGCACTGCAGACAAACAGACCTCTAAACTGATATATAGTAACAGTAAATATTGATAATATCATTCTATTAACATCTTTCGTAGAAAAAGATTAAACAAGTCATTTTCAATTCATTTGGATTTTATTTGTATAGTGCCAATTCATAACAAAAGTTAGCTCAGGACACTTTTCAAATAGAGTAGGTCTAGACCATACTCTAAAACTTCAGAATCCAGGAGGGAGGAAAATGCTGAATTGAAGGCACTAGACTATGTTGTAGTTATTATAATAGCAAGGATAGATTCCCTTGAATTGAATTAGTAAGTGGTCGGACAGAAGAGACAGAAGAGACAGACTGACAGACCTGATAACTGAGAGTCTTCATGTTGTGTAATTTAAAGAGTTTCCGAGCAGCAGCTTCATCCGGTTAGACATCAAATTCATATTTTATAAAGGCGAGAAGCTGCAGCAGCTGGAAGACTGAGAGGATTTAATCTGTAACAGCCAGAGCTGCACGCTATGAAACCTGTCTGTCTGACTGCCTATCTGTCTGTCTGTCTGTCTGTCTGACTGCCTGTATCTCTCTCTACATGAATCCTCTCAGTCATCTGAATATTTAATCAGTTCAGTAGAAGTGTGTTCTTATTTAGGGTGTTGGTGTATTTTAGGAATGTGGCCTTTAGTGAACCTGCTGTTTGTTGAAGAGACTGAAACCTGAACAGGGATTTCAGGACTGAGGCTAACCCACACCTGGTGGTCAGGTGATCCCTGACGGGCAGCTTTTTGGTTTTAGTCAGGGTCTCAGTCAGGTTCTGGTTGTTATGCATAGAAACATAGGGTAGAATGTATTTATTGGTAAAATGTGACTGAATACAGCCTGAGAGTAATACCTGCAGACACTACTCAGGGCTGAATACTGTCTGTTTATGCTAAAAAGACACAAAAACTGAACATAGAAGATGGACGTCATGGATGGAGGTCAGATGGACTCAGTGATCGAGGATGATGATGAGGATGATAGAGGATGATGATGGAAGATGATGATAATGGAGGATAATTGTGGTGTAGAAGGAAACCCTGATTGTTTTAGGCAAGCTGAAACCCAGTTTGTAATGTTCAGGATCTTTTACTGAAACGTGACAATGTTGTTGACTTCCTGTTGACATTGTTAAACCCTTTCTAATTGGATGCTGCCACAGATATTGCGTAGTAACCGATTTACAGTGTTTAAGACCTGTTCTGTGTGTTGTGTGGTTCAGTTTGTGGTCTGCAGTTTCTTTACTCAGAGACATTCAGATAAGGTAAAAATAACTTAATGCACTTTACATGTTTCCTCTAACAACTCGGTGTGTGTGTGTGTTAATAATTAAAGTGAACAGCTGCTGTAACACTCTGTAGGAGGAAGAGGAGAAAGAACATCATGTGTTTCCATTCATTTTTATTCATATTTTCAGTATTTAACAAAACTAAGAAAACTAAGTTTGTGTAGAAAGAAGAAACAGAATCTTATTTCAGGTCGTCCTCAGCTGTTTTTTAAAATGTGCCTCCTGATTCACTGTGAGGAAACATTGTTCTCTTTACTGAGTTTAATCTCTGAACAAATTTGTCTATAAAGCTAATAGATCAATTATTTATTCTCTTATGAATCTATAAACTGTATGTTTCGGTCTGTCACATTCAATTCTATTTGGAATTTAACAGGGAGCCAATGCAGGCAGAAAACCAGGGACGCTGGAAATTGTTCGGTACAGGGTTAGTTAAGTAGAAATGGGATCTATGGGAATTTTGGGTGATTTAGGCAACACGTTTTTTCAATAGGAATTTTAGATGATGGAAAAAAGGTAAAAGATTGAGATGAGAATATGTTTAATTATTAGTGGTCAAGCCACCAGTTTTCCTTATAATGGAACGTCGATGGCAGAATTTTGGAAGCAAGTAGTAGGAACAGTAATATCCATGGAGAGTTGAGGACATGGATGATGGCAGGCAGAAGAAGGGTGAAGAAGAAAGACAAAGCTTTTCCCAGGAACTGTGAGGGAAAAAGGGGAAATCAAAAATGATATCTGATGTCAGTGAGTGAGGCTGAAAGAGGGGAGGTCGAAGTGACAAGACTTTTGAAGGACAGGGGGTCGAAAAACGAAAGGTTGAGCTGAGGGAGGGAAAGGCTTGGGGCCTAGAATGGCAGGTGGATCTGATGAAATTCTCCTGGATTGGAAAAAGAGCATCCCAGGAAGTATAACCAGGAAAGAAGGCACATGATTGATTACAGAGGGGAGAGGGACGGTCGAGGCCAGGCCCGGGTCTGTTAGGAATTTTGTTTTGGAGAAGAGTGAAACAGTGGAAACTTATGGATTTAGCCTGTCTCTCATTTGAACACGATATGTGGTTCTCATAGTTCGTTTGTATTAGTAGGTTGATAGTTTGGACGTTTCCCAAAAGGTTAAAGTTACTCGCCGGCACTTTAGCTCATGGCAAAGCGGCAAGCGCTATTCCAATGCCAGGCGTTTGGTCACCTGCGTATTTTTTTCCGTTCCTCTTGTGGTAATTCTGGATGATACCTAGTCGGTAGGGCCTGTCAAAGTTTAAGTACCTGAATGAGTAGTTTTACTTTCTAAACGTTAGTACCCTATCACGTCGTCCTGAATACAGGTAGTACTTGATCAGGTCTTAATCCGGTTTCGTTAAGTACCTGTCGGAATAAGTTGTTACTTGGTCGTAAGTAATTGCTGTCGAGAGAAGTGCGGTAACCTGTCAGATCAAAACCTGTCACAGTGGTGATTTTTGAGGCCTGGTCACTTTAGTCAGTACCTGGTCAAGTAATATTATCTCACCTTGTTAAACCGTGAGTACCTGAGAACTGAGCTCCCTCCCTGACGCGCCCTGACGGGCATTGGCTGGTCAGGTTTAAAGCGAACCCCCGATGAACGGTCCCCATAGATACCCACCGGGCCAACTGGTTAGCTAAGGGCGGTACCAAATCGAAAAGATGGGAGGCACAGAGAGGCAAAGAATTCCCACTTCCAGTTGGAATGGATAGGAGTGCGGCGACAGGCGCCTTGGTTTCTCGTTCCCCCTTGTGTGGACGGGCTTGTTCTTGACTGGGGATCATGTTCCTCACAAGTGGTATAAACACTTCCATTACCCACCTATACTAAACCGATAGCCAATCACAGAGCTCTGCAGTACAGGTCAGGAGAGAGACAGGTCAGAGAGGCACCAGGTAGTCCACATGGTTCAGTTTGTTGTCAAATTAAAAACAGGATATGTGTCTGGACCTTTGTCCTCTCGCTGACTGTCAGCTATATAAATAAAACGTCCCTTAAAAGCCAGATTAACATTGAGTTGTAACCGAGATGATTATCAGTGTTTGATAAGCGAGTGAATCATATGTGCCCGGGTTGCTTCTGCAGATCGGTTGAAAGCGTGCTGGTGGCATGTACGAGGTTGGCTGCAGCCTCCGGCCTGGTTCGATCTTGACCTCGCGGCCTTTGGCTGGTGTCATCCCTCTCCTCCTCGCGCGCCCGCTTCTCTGTCATCTCAGCTCACCGGGCATCCAATAAAGCAAGTGAAAAGGGCAAGAAAGGACATTTCACGGACACTAGTGTACCTGCACCGTGTAGCTGAAAACTGTGTCCAATGTACGCGCTGCCGCATCTGGCTAACCTGCCAAGGACCAAAAGGGGGCTCAGCAGTCTCCCAAAGGTGAACCACACCTTCAGGAGCAACCAGAGACCAGTTTATGACGGACTAGCGGCACCCAAGGTGGATTTAGTTGTGTCCAGACGGACTTGTTTGCGAAAAGAGCTAAACTGTCTCTAGACATCGTGTTTAGATGCTGTAAAAACGCTGTTAGCTCATGCAACTTAAATTGAGCTGATTTTTAGCCTCAGGGTGGCGAGGAGCCAAAACTTGGCAATAATAACACCCTCATTTTTATCACTGCAGTCAAAACGTGTCTTACAATACAAATGCTAAAGGGTTCCTCTCACGACACCTATAGGATGCACTGTTCATGGAGTCAATAAATGGACTGTTGTTGTTGTTGTTGTTGTTGTCATCATTATTGTTAATGGGTTACCTCACAGTGCCAGCAGCAGGGGACTCCTTTCACCTCTTCTTCCTCCTTCTCCTGGCTGTTACCATTGGAAAACTACAGAAAGAGTCTGGATAATTTATCTCCTCGACGGACCACGTGCATCTTCCTCCAGCTGACAGACAGGGTACAGAGGAGGAGAGAAGGTAGCAGAAGACAGACAGGCATGTACAGAAGGACAGACAGGTACAGGACAGATAGCAGCAGAGAGTGAGAGACAGGTACAAGGAGACGATTAGGACAGAGAGAGTTGAGAGACAGGTACAGAGGAAAGACAGGAACAAAGGGAGAGGAGGCAGGGTACAGAAGACAGAAAGGTGGGGGAGACAGACAGGCACAGAGAGAGAGAGAGAGAGGACAGGGTACAAGACAGACAGGTGGAGAGACAACAGGCACAGAGACAGAAAGGTTAGGACAAGGAATCTAAACTTAGCACGGTGGTTTCTATTTCCAGTCAATCAGTTTCTTACGTTCAGTCTTTAGGTTATTGGTCACTGGCCGAGACTCCGGGTAACCAGATGGCTGTGATTGTATCTGGAATTGGAAGATATCGTTAGCGACCAGGAGCGTCTCCGTTCTCATTGAACAAAAACACTAGTACCTGCACTTCATGTAGACACAGACATACAGGACAGACAGACATGACAGAGGTAAGGAAGGAAGCTTCTTTGACAAGTGTCGTTATTCAGCAGTCACAGTGAACATCTCCAATATATAAAGACGACATGCAGCTCTCTAAAATTAAAAAATCCAAAGGACTATCTTTATCTCCCCCTGGTGGCTGACTGGTAATAGCTCATAAAAATGACCATCCATGATGCAAGCTAAGGACAGACATCAAAAACATTTTTTTATTGTCAAATGATATGTACCACACGTCTTTAGTAGCTGTAATTAAACCCTTCTTAAAAAGAACCCCTCTTGACCACGGGGTTTAATAGCCAACGTAATAAGACGATTTCTAAACCTCCCCTTCTCTATAAGAATAAGTAAAAAGATAAGTAGTAAGTAAGTAAGATTCTGGAGAAGTAGATACACTCAAACAGTTGGGTGACTTTCAATACATAGCAATAGTTAATTTGAGGACTTTCCGTCAGGTAATATTAGAGTTTATCACAAAGCACAGAGACACACTGGTTAAAGTTAAATTAAATGACCTTATTTGATTTGCTTCCGACAAATGACTTGTCCCGTACTTAGATTCATTAGAATCTTAGTTGCTGGTTTAGTCATAACTTATCAAGATCATTTCTCAGTTTTAAGACCGTTAACGATGAACTCCAATTAAATACTTAAAGTTAAGTCATGGAGTTCCACAAGGTACTGTATTGGACCAATTCCAGTATCAATTAATAATATGCTTCCCTCTAGGTAAACAATTATAGTAAATCACTCCATTAACTTTCACTGTTATGCAGATGGTACAAGGTAATATACCTTGTTAAGCCCGATGAACATTAATCAATTATCCTAAAAATTACCAAATATATCGTCTTAAAGGACAGTAAAAATCGACTGGATGAGCTGCATTTTTCCTAATGTTAAAAAACTCAGAAAAAACTAAATTCTTGTACTTGGCCGCAAAAACCTTAGGGACTCACTGATCTAAAGACTATAGTACTCTAGATGGTATGTACCTGGGCCTCTAGCACCACTGTCAGGAAATCTTGGGAGTTCATCTTTACAAGAGACAATAGTACAATTTAATTACCCAATAATAAAGCAAAACCTCTAGCACTGCCTTACTTTTTCCATTTACTAATATTACAAAAAAATTAGACAAATCCGGTCACAGGCGGGACTGCAGAAAAACATAATCCATGGCATTTAGATGTAGATTAGCTGGATTTACTCAACCGAATCCTGTTATTATCAAGGTTGCCTAAATAAAGTCCGATTAAAATGCTCCAGATTAATTCTCTAAAACGCTTGCAGCTTAGAGTACTGACAGGAACTAGGAAAAGAGATCAATATCTCCTGTTTAGCTTCTCTGCCAT